CTTGTTCCACTGCTACATTTGAGAGCAATTATGTCACCATCACCTTTGGCAATAGCATCAACTGCTTTAAGTGCATCTTTGGGGCGATGGCTACTAGCCAGAGTTTGACTGGGGTCTGACTCGTGGCGTGCCCGTTAACAACTCAGATTTCACTCCAGACAACTTGAAGGGGCTTGTTTTAATTTTGCCAACACAATTCAACGTTTTCAGGTTTTTATTGTTCTTTGGGTTCTAAAATTAGGCAGGATCTTCTGGTCAGTATTAAAATTAGAGTTAGATCACGGTCAGTGATGTTTGGTCTCAGTTCCTTGGGTTTTTGTTCTACAGCTGGTTTGTGAACGTCCTTTTGATGGGCTGTGTGCCCCTCACGAGGACTGAAGCTATCTGTTGAATTCAATCATGGTAACAACCTTTGGGTGGTTTCTGGGGTCTAGCGTCAGGCCATGGATCTGAGGATCCCTCAGCTGACTTGGGCAGGCTTCGTCTCAGCAATCAAGCTAAGACATCCAGTTTGACCATCTCTGATCAAGAAAACCACTAGTTTGTGATGAGTAAAATTTGAGTTTCTGGCTGCTTAGAAGCAATCAATCAACACTAAAACTATCTTCTGGGGAACCTAGAAAACCCATATAGCTCTTTGCTTTAAATAATGAATTGCTTCTTTGTAAATGCTGTGGAATAGAAATTCACTTAGCAGTGAGAACAATGAGGCTAGCAATGAAGGCTCCTCAGGCCTCAAAGTACAGAGAACCTTTCTGGGGGTCGTGGGGGAGTCACATTTGGGGAATAGCCTGTAGCACACTCAGTACCACCTTAGCCGGTTGGTGCTGTTGGGAATGATTTTCTAAGACAGGGTTTCTCAAGCTCGGCGCTGTTGACATTTTGGATTAGATACTCCTTTGGTGTCGAGGCTGTCCTGTGCATTGTAGGACACTCTGCAGCATCTCTGGTCTCTACCCACTAGATGGAGGGAGCAGCCCCCAACCACACACCTGTGAGAATCAAAGGTGTCTTCAGACGTTACCCAATGTCCCCAGGGAGGGTAAAATACTCCTCCCCCCATACCCCCTCTTAAGAACCACTGCTTAAAGGAAATGTGAAACCTAAAGGAAAAAATCCACCTATTGTTAAAAGACAAAAATGACCAAAAGTCATTCATAGTAAGGAAATTACAAAAGGGACAGGAAACCAGAACTGTTCCTCACATGAATTCTTCACTAAGGAGGCTGTATTTTGAGGAGGTAGCACATCACGTCTCCTGGCCCTTGATTATCCCAATGAACACACAAGTACTTGCACAGGTGAGTCTCGGAACAAGTGTTTAATAAATCCATCCCGAAGTCTTTTATTTAAAACCTCCAGAAGTGCTAGCAGCTTGAGTGTAGAATTTATGTCAAGTCTTCTATGTAGAATTTATGTCAAGTCTTCTAAGTACCACTGGCTCCCTACACCTGCACCTCCTGCCCTTGAAAAATTAGCTGCTTACCTGTAAATTCTGCATTTTAAGTGCAAATTTTACTCTTGCTTTTCCTCCAGGCCTTGTATAGTAGGACAGCAACATGTTTATATTGGATCGTGGAATGACTATCTCCATGTTTCCATGAATATTTCGTGTTTTAGACCAGTACTACCCAACAGAAATATAATGCAAATCACATGTATATAATTTTAATAATATATTTCTAAAATATTATCATTTAACTTGTAATCAATATAAAACTGAGATTTTACATTCTTTTTTATTGAAGTATAGTTGATTTATAGTATTGTGTTAGGTCCAGGTATATAACATAGTGACTCGGTATTTTTGCAGATGTTATTCCACTCTAGGTTACTATAAGATAATGGGTATAATTTCCTGTGCTATACAGTATATCTTTGTTGCTTATCTATTTTACATATAGCAACTTGTATCTGTGAATCCCATACCCTTAATTTGTCCCTTCCCACTTCCTTCTCCCCTTTGGTAACCACAAGTTTTGTTTTCTATTATCTGTGGAATCTAAAAAATAATACAAATGATTGTAGATGCATCTTTAAAAAATATTAATTCTTCCAAAGCTGATGTTTCTTACACCTCAGCATGTCAGTTTGCGCTAGATACATTTCAAGCGCTCAATAGCCACATGTGGCTAGTGGCTACTGTACTGGAGTACAGTTTGGGAATCATCTGTGATGATTCCCAAAGTTCCACATATTTCTCCACTATGGGAAGCCTATAAATGATACAATGGGCTCTCTTCTGCCGGGTAGTGGGGGTAACATGCCAGAGCATTTGTCCAACTGGAAAATCATTCCATCAACTACAACATTCTGATCTGTTTTCCAGAAACAAATCATGGTGACATACGTCAACCTGAACTGACTGGATTTTGTCTGTTTACCTCTGAAACAGATTGATGTGCAGCTGTTCTGGAAATGCAGATGGCAACTGGGGAGGGTACCTCAAGATAATTGGCCCTTGCCGTACAGACAAACTCAAGCAGGGGGCTTTCTAGCCGTGGTTGCGTAGTCCCAGATAAGTCACAATTTTATAACAAAATATCAGAATCAGAACTTTTCAGTTTATGAACACAAGGTAAATTTTGGAAAGGCAATCCTTATGAGTACAAAATTAAAATAAGCCTTTCATACACATCTCTGGCTGTTTATTTGTTCTCAACATGGCTTTCCTCTTGAGGTGTTATCTCTGACCTTGGCTCACAGGGGTCACTGGTTGACTGACCTTACTACCCTGGTCAAATGCCTCAGTCTTTACTATCTCTAGATCCCCCTGTTTGGTTACCTGGACACCTTCTCTGTTCTACTTCTTCCTTCAAGGTACTTCAGATCATGAGGGAGAAAAAGCATCTTCTCACTTGGGTTCCAGGGAGCCTAGAATGTAAATGACCCTGCCCCCTCCACCTTGTCCATTTAAAATTTATATTCAAGTGCCAAATGACAAATTTGCCAACCGGATTTCCTCTGGCTCCTAGGAAGCTCAGAGCCAAACTGGCGGGAGCCTAAAGCATGAGGTCTAATGGTTTGGTTTTATACCCTGCTCTCTTCTTGCTTCGCTTTTATTCCCTCCTCTAATTATTGTACTGTTTGCCATTTGTTTATAAGCCACCCCAAATCATTCTGGGAATGTGGTGGGGGTATACATAGATATAATAGTCTCTTTATAGTTTGTCCTAACAATTGAATCTTTCAGATATTGACCCAGATACTGAGTGAAGTTATTCCTTAAAAGAGAAGTTGAGGGAGGCACATTCTAACCAGCTTCATCTTACAAAGTGTCACAGATAAACCACACCGTGTAAGTTCCATAAAGGCAGGAATCATCCATCACAGGACTTAACACACAAGGGAAACATAGTAGATATTTACGAAGTTATATAAATATTTGTTTGTGGAACCTAAAAAAAAAATACATACCTTAGTTTGGAATATTCACTTGAACTATAAAGACCTGTTTTTTTAAAAAAAATATTTACTTATTTAATTGCACAGGGTCTTAGTTGTGGCATGTGAACTCTTAGTTGCAGTATGCATGTGGGATCTAATTCCCTGACCAGGGATCAAACCCGGGTATCCTGCATTGGGAGTGCGGAGTCTTATCCACTGCACCAGCAGGGAAGTCCCAAGACCTGCTTGCTTTTAAGAAAAAAAAACTACTTGTCTTTAAAAATGGAGTATGCACATTCCTGAATCTAATTATATGACTCAATCTACCTGAGCTGACATAGTGATGGCACTACTGCCAATACCAGGCAAGTCACATCTGGGGAAGTTAGTGACTGGAGTTCTTACATAAGATTTGACATTTTCAGTGAAACCATAACCATTGAATAGAATTATATTCCAATCACATTTTCTTTTATAGTCATAAAGATTCTCTTCATGACCATAACTCCTCCCTTGGAACTAATAAATCCTCTGAAAACATTTCATTCAACTCCAGATTTGCTTCACTTCTCCTCTTTTGCACCTGAGCACAAAAGAATGGCCTGGTAATTTTAATAGTCATGCTGGCCATCTTTTCACTCTTGCTTTAGCTCTTCTCAACATGCAGGCATGTGCTATGCCAAGGAGGGCAAGTTGACTGCAGCCCTGGGACTGGCTGCAACTCACTTTGGTGACCCTGGGCTGTACTTAATCAAGGTGCTAGATAACTCTGTATTGCCACGGTACAGGGAAGAGAGTTGGGGGGAGATGGAGCAGGTTAGGTACCACACCTGGAAGCACAAGGAGGCATCTGAAGGCACTGCTTCATCCTACAGGCAAGATGGCCCAAGGGTGGCCCATTGTTTTTTTTTTTTTTTAAGGAAATAACATCTTATTTAACTGTTTATTGCTTTAATTTTTTATTTTTGGCCACACTGCGTAGTATGTGGAACTTCCCCAACCAGGGATCGAACCAGTGTCCCCTGCAGTGGAAGCTCAGAGCCTCAACCACTGGACCACCAGGGAAGTCCCCATCCCTCTTTTCAAAAACACCCTTGAATATCCCCAGAGAAAAAGTAATCCATGTGACTTATGCATCAAGCTTTGAGATTAACCCAAACCCAATTACTCAGCACCCAGAACCTCACTTACTCCCTAATTCTCTCACTTAATTCCGTTTTAGCCAGTATCGGCCAAAGCCATTCTAAATTTTGTTGGGTAACAATTTTCTCACTTCATTTTCTGCTACCATGTCGCCACTAGTATACATTGTCAAGAGATGCAGAGAAAAGTGCCAGACCGTTCACACCCTGCCAAATGGGATTGAAGATGCAGCTGTTAAGACAATGAGTATGTGCTGTTGCCTGAACCATCCATAAAGAGAACCTGTACACCCTTGATAGGTGAGGATATACAGATTGTTTCTTGAGTATTTACTTGGGCACGAGTCACTTACATGACCCCAAGGTAATTTTGATGTTTTTGCCACTAATCTCAGTAAATCATTCAGTTACTGACCTAAGACTGTCTTCCCACAGATTTCATTGGAAATGTCATTAAGATGCCAGAAGGGGTAAGTTTTTAAAGCCATGTTTATTGAAGTTGAATTTACATTCAGTAAAACTCACTCCAAAATTTGACAAAGGCCAACAGCACCATAATCAAAGCGCAGAGCAGTTCTTCAACACCCACCCCCGACCAAACCCTATGCAACAAACTCCTCCCTGATCCTTAGGAATCCACTGATCTGTCAAAGGGGTCAAACTTAATCATCAAAATAATCTATTATAGGAAAAACTGTAAGCACAAAAAAACAAGTTTTTAAAAGGATACTTTGAAACATACAATGTTTTGAATAGTCAAAAGTGTGGGATTTAGAACTAACCTTTGTAAATTCAAGCAGCTGACAGTTTTCTTAAGATAGCTGTATTGATAGAATAGCTAGTCTAGTTACTAGGTTGAGCTGCAGGCTGGGGCTGGCTGGCAGAAGAATGATTTTAAATAGTTTAAGTGGAGTTGAATTCTACAGAGATTCTCTATGGGGCAGATATATGTTCTTGCAGATATTTGGCACCTTTTCAAAAGTCCTCCCCTGCTACCACCATGAAAGGGACAGTAAGCGAAAACCTCTACTCTGTATATATCAATCGTCACATGTTCAAATACACCTCGTCTCCTCGAAAAGCTTTCAAGCAGCAGCCCTGTAAGAGAAGTATCACAGTAGGTAATTAGAGCAGCAATTACTAAATAAGATGCTATTAAGAAAATACAGTGTCTAGACTATGTTCACAAAAGCAGTGCAGGTTAAGGAAAATGAATTCCCCAATGTACTACACATTGTCAACACAGGTATAGTAATGTTCTGACATAAAAATGAAAAAAAATTTTTTTCAACTCAAAATCCTATTTTACTAATGCTAGCAATTCACCCTCTGCCTCTGGAAGATTCTAACTCAAAATGGCCACCATTGCCAAAGATAAACATCTTGAAAGATTAGGTGCCAATCACTTAAAAATTCCCCCCCCCCACAACAACATTTTTCTGGGCATAATAAAGTATTACCTATTTACTAGAGCCCCCCCCACCACCATTTTATTTAAAACATACTTTTTAAAGGTGGGGAGGGGTGTGATTGTACTTAATAAATCCCTACCTATCAAGTTGGCCTCAGGTAAATCCTTTAACCCATCAGAGCAGGATATCCAATCAGATTAGAGTTCTCATCCTTGGCCAAGAATTCTATTCGTATTTATTAACTCAAGCCAAATTCTTTCCATTTGGTCCATACCTGTTTGCCAGCGTCTTGAACTGGACTGAGCCTGGTAGGAAATTGAGAAAAACAATGTTAAGAATATCATATGCTAACTTTTTATGGTTTTGTGTGTGTGTATATGTGTGTGTTTGGTAAAGAGTCTTTTATTGGGCTACCTACCAGCTACCTTTGATGAATAAAAAGCTACCTTTAAGTAGAGTTCCTTTAAAACAGCTACATTCTCCAAACTTCCTGACACTGGGAATCTCCTGTAATTTCCAGCCAGGAGTAAAGTTAAGTAGTGAACTAAGTGCCAATACTCTGGGAATCCATTTTACAGAAAGCCAGCAGTCACCAACCTTCCAATCTCCCTGTTACAGTTGCATGGAACATTATCAATTTGGAAAAAATAAACATTACTAGCAACAGTATTTACCTAGGAAAGAGGGAAATAAACTTTAACATTAAAAAAAACCAAAGGAAGCCTGAGACTTGCTTACCCAGAGGCAGAGCCCAGGGAGTGTACAACAGTCCTCAGCACTTGCTCAGTTTCCAGTCCTTAAACAGACATTGGCTCAGGCTGCTGCTTCCTTGACCTGCTACCTGGCTCTCTCAGCCCATGTCCCTCTCCCAGAGGCAACCATTTGGCTCAGCAGGAATCCCCAACATCTAAACCAATTGTAAAACAAAGCCTGAGCACTGCATTTCTCTCTGTGGTAGTGCCATTCACCAGAGATCCAGGTAGTCGGGGCAGGGAAAACTGTGTGCTCCCACCCCATCTATATGGCTGGAAAGGGGGTGCCTAGGACAGTTTGCAACGCTGCTCCTTGTTTCCTCTTTAAAAGCAGGATAAAATTGATGTCCCATTTGGTTTCCTAATTAGTAAAATTAGTTATTTTCTGATCAGTAAAAGGGTCTTTCACCACTGAGGCAAATATGTAAAACACCCCACAAGCCTCACATTTCAAGAGATTACTAAGCGGTACCAATGATACCTATAACGATTCCTTCATTTCATTCACTCAACGCTAAATTTAGATCTCTACAAATTTTATGGAATTTAGAGAGTAATCCTTTCTATAGGAACGTATAGCAGTAAAACACAGTAAAAATGCCCACTGATGCCGAAGAGAGCCACACCGAAACTTAGAAACTCTTTTTTCATACAAACTTTCTCTAGGGCAACCTTTCCTCTTTATCTTGGCGGACACAAAACCCCAACGGTGCCGACTTTTTCCCAGGACAGACAACCATGACGAGCCTCACAGCCTGAAAATGTTGGAAGAGGGTCCCATGCTGCATAACGCACTGTCAGTCCTGAAAAGTTGGGGGAGAAAATTGCTCCCTCATTAAGGCTCACAGTAGTTAACCGCTTCCGCAAGACTCAACGCCAGACCTTTTAAAGAGCCCAACCGCCGGGAGAAGTGGCAACGGGAAGGCACTTGTGGCAGGGGAGTGTCTGTGTGGGCGAAATTCCCTCCGTTTCTCGCCAACACCGGAATTAACACTGCTCCGCTCTGAAGCTTAAAAGTGTTTCAGGCGCGTGATATTAACCCGCTTCCTAAACTGGCCGTTCCGGGGTCGTCAGAGCCACCGGGGGCCCCGCGTGCGCCTAGAACACGGACACCACCCCGGGCTCTGCGCCTCCGTCCTGGGTCAGTTTCATTCTCTAAGTTTTGTTTGTTTGTTGTTTTCTTTTTTCATTGCAAAGGAGCTTGAAGCTCCCTGTGGCCTGGATCCCTTAGGCGTCGGGGTCACAGGTACAGAAGGTGCCGGGCGCCTCGGTCCCTGGGAGGAAAAGGGGGTCTTTAGGCGCCTGGAGGGTCATTCCCGGGAAGTAAGGGTCCCCGGCACACTGAGGACGTCCCCGCCCCAGAGGGGCCCTCACAGGAGCTCCCCTGGGGGCTGGGAGGCCTCTCCCGAGGGGGTGCCGAGCTCCGCCCCGACGGAGCGGGCCCGGGGACAGGAGGGGCGCGCGCGCCCGGTAAGTGCCACTGGAGAGACCCGCAGGCCACGTGGCGGGCTCTAACGTCGAGCTGGTTGGAAACCACTTACCGAGTCGTGCGCCGAGGCCGAAAAGGGAGGGGAAGGGAGAGACCCAGTTTAAGAGGGGCCTGGGCGGTCAGTGCCCAGCGGCAGCCAACCAAAAAGTTGCCCCAGCGCCCCGCCCGGCTCGGGACCCGGCCCAGCACCAGGCCCAGCACCCGCCCCTCCGGCGGCGCGCGGAGGCCCTCGCGCGTCCCCTGCCGGCGGCCTGGGGCAAGCGGGGCAGGCGGCGGCCGCCCGGGTCTCCCCTAGCTCTGGCCTCGGGCCGACCGACCGAACTTTCGCCTCAGAGCCCTTCCTAGGTGTGGTGTCCATTTACCTCGCGGCAGGTTCGATGGAGCTCCTGGCACCCTAATAATGTTAGATATTTATGCCCGTCTCCCCTTTCCCCACCTCAAGTATCCCATGTTCTCCCCCAGGGGGGTCTGCAAGCCACTAGAATTCCCCAGCCTTGCTTTTTAAAAAAAAACTATTTTTTTAAATTAATTTATTTATTTTTGGCTGCGTCAGGTCTTCGTTGTTGCACGTGGGGTGGGCTTTCTCTAGTTGCGGGGCGCGGGGGCTACTCTTTGTTGCCTTGCGCGGGCTTCTCACTGCGGTGGCTTCTCTTGTTGCAGAGCTCGGGCTCTAGGCGCGCGGGCTTCAGTAATTGTGACTCGCGGGCTCTAGAGGGCAGGCTTACTGGTTGTGGCGCACGGGCTTCGTTGCTCCACAGCAGGTGGGATCTTCCCAGACCAGGGCTCGAACCCGTGCCCCCTGCATTGGCAGGCAGATTCCTAACCACTGTGCTACCAGGGAAACCCCAAGCCTTGCTTTTATATTTGGTTTTATCCTTAATCTGTCCCTGGAATTTTGAGATTTGAGGCTTCCTAGGTACTGGAGCACTTGAGAGCACTTTTGGTTGGAGGGACTATATAGGGCAACAAATATTTACTGAGTGCCCACTCAGCGGTAGGCACCGTGATCCGTGCTGTGAAGTTGAATGAGAAACTGCCCCTGCCCTCAAGAAACATAAAGTGATAAAAGCCTATGCAACGTGCCAAGGGCCTAGCACAAAGCCACGAAGCCCAGCCTGCTAAGGGGATCAGGGGAGGCTTCCTGGAGGAGGGGTATACCTAGGCTGAGTCTAGCATTACTAGCAGGAAGTTGGCTTCACAATATAGAAGCCAAGAGAGTTAAAGAAGGATCATAGAGTAGAGGGACTTTTAGATCATACAGAGCTTCTGGTGGAGTAGAGCCCACCTTAGGGTGTTCTCCAAAAGCAGACTTGTCTTGATCATGGAATGTAAGCTCCATGCAGACTTGCTTTCCCAGTCTCCTGGATCCTCTGAATTCAGCATAGTGCCTGGAACATATTCAGGTAAGTGGGAAATGACTCCAGGGAAAGAGATTCGCCATTGAGCCCCTGCAGTAGTTGAATATTCATACTATAAAACTCTTCAAGGCTCATAGTGATGATAGTGGTGGGGTCTTATCCCAGAATGTAGCTTTTTTGGGTCACCTTGAGTATGAATTTATCCCTGCATTCCCGGTACATGGCCTAGAGCTTGGTGCACTGTTAGTAATTGATAAAACCTGCTGTATTTCCTTTCTTGGTGTGTATTTGGCCTGCCTTTCACACACGTGATGAACTACTTGTAGAACAGGCATCCCGAGCCCCCGGGAGGTGTTGGGCACTTCTCTGGCTAATTTTGCTGCTGCTAGAGGGGAGCCCTCACCCCCGACCCCGGCTCCCCATGCCATGTCTCTTTGTGGAGGAACTTCTGTGGGATAATGCCCTGAACTTCTGTCCACCCTTTCCTCATTCCCTTCCAGCAGAGGAAGGCATTTCAATAAAATCCTGTTCTAACATGAATTTGGAGAGCATGCAAACCGGCGTAGGCTTGTTGGCATCTGTCCTCCACCTGTTTCCTGTTTTCAAGATTCTAATGTTCTCTGATGGGAGGGGGAGACGGGGGTAAGAAGTGACCATTTGGAATCCATTGAGGGTTTTCTTGGTTCAGCGTATAGTCACTCGGGAACATTAAGTGTCACTCCCTTAAACTTTGTGCTTTTCCAACAGTGTCCAAACTGAATAAAAGGTAGTATTTCTTACTAACCCTGCAATAACATGGTCATGCATTTTACTCATTTTAAATTTTTGGCCCGCACGTATGTTACGGCAGGTGATATCCAACGGCTCATCTTTCTCAAAGAAGAGCAAGTCCATCAGAAGGCTGTGAGCTGCGAAGATTCGTGTTCTTTTTCTTCCCTCGCTGCCCAGGATCAGTATAAGGTAATGGTGACCCAAGGTCCAGACGGGGAAAGGGCGTAGAACAGACTCAGCTCTGAAGTCACTATCTTGTCAGTAGTAAAGCTAACACCTTCATTTCCCTTCTGTATCTTATCTTGAGTTGGTTCTGAAGGTGGAAAGGGAAGAAAGCACGTTATTTGTCACCCTCCCCCAACCCTTATTCCCGGAAGGTCCTAAGACTCATTTGTTCTCAATGGACTAACATCACACACAGAGCTGGGACATTCGCTCTCACAGATTAATGGGCCCATCCATTTTCTTTTGTCTCTGTGTTTAGTGCGCATTTTATTGTGTCATTGTAGAGTCAGGAGATAAAGCAACTGCAGACATCATTTATGATTTAAACGGCAGTTCCAGTTGGGTAACATTTTAATTGGCGTCGTTGGGCCATTTGCCACATGCAGGTCTCTGCCCAGCAGCCTGCCTTTTCCAAGCAGCTGTAGGCTTGTTTTCAAGCCAAGAGAGAATGTCTGCTCTCACGGAGGCCTATTGGTTTCATTTGCCTAAATAGAAGTGGATGATGGCTGAAATGTGGCTGATTTTAGCAATCAGAGGGTGTACAGGTAAGCATCCTGGAAGCACTGGGATACAGGTGTGCTTGTTTCTGACCCCTTACATCGGTACAAAACAGACTATTAAAACAATGCCCTCTCGATTGCCATGTACTCACTGCCATATTTAACATGAATAACCAACAAGGATCTACTGTACAGCACAGGGAACTCTGTTCAATATTACATAACAACCTAAATGGGAAAAGAATTTGAAAAAGAATAGATACATGTTATCTGTATAACTGAATCACTTTGCTGTACACCTGAAACCAACACAACATTGTTAATCAATTGTACTCCAATATAGAATAAAAAGTTAAAAAAAAAAATGCCCTCTCAGGTGTGTTGCCTACAGACCTGAGCCTTGTTGTTCACAAGACTTCTAGGAAATATAGGAATAAAGGTATAAAATACATTTCTATTTCGTATTTATGTTCAATATATCAAATATATCACCTTTATTGATAAGCATGATCTAGTTGTAAAACAAATACATAAAAACATCCTTTAACTCCATATTCTTCTGCAACTAACCCTTCATTTCTTTTTCTCTTGAAAAAGACTCCTCAAAAGCACTGTCTTTATTTGTCTCAAATTCCTCTCCTCCATTCTTTTCTGAATCAAATTATGTTGGGCAGCCTCTGAGATCGTCCCCAATGGCCGCATCCTCCTGCTCTTCATGCCCTTGTATAGTTCCCTCCCCTTGAGTGTGGACTGGACCTGTTGAATTTCTTCCAATGAATAGAATACAGCAAAAATGACGGGATGACATATGAAAAGATGCTCCCTGTTTTATATCACTAGGGAATTGCAAATTAAAACAGCAATGAGGTACCATTATATATCTATTAGAATAGCTGAATTCCAAAATACTGACAACACCAAATGGTAGTGAGGATGTAGAACAATAGGAGCTCTCAGTCGTTGCTGGTGGGAATGCAACATGGTACAGCCACTTTGGAAGACAGTTTGGGACAGAGAATAATTGCAGGTGAGCTTTGTGTAGTTGTATACTTATGGGATTGTTCAAATCAACATTGCCAAGTTTAAGTTTCAAGAGGTAGAAATTATGACTGCTTAATTTCTGCATATAAATTCCAGGCTGCCTGAGGTTGCTAATACATGCCTTTCATACGAATGATGATAAATATGTGAAGCCACTTGACTGCAATGTCCTTTCTGATTAACACATATTTATGACCCACATTTGGAAGCCTGGAGATTGCTGCCAGGCCCATCCAAATCTGTGCTGGGTAACTGAATGCAGCAATGCCACAGACAGCTTCTCCTAAA